GCATTTAATTGATTAATTTTAATTAAATAATTAAGCATATTTTAGTGAGTAAAATTAAGTATAAGGCTTAATTAAATGAATCTGAGTCACTTGGAGTTAAAAAGTGTACTCAGTGAAAATTAAGGGGTATAAATGGGTGTAGGCAAAAGTACCCAAAATATAAAAATAAAATTAGAAACATTCCTAGAAAAATATTCCAGACTTTTGGGTAAAGTTTGGTAATTAATGGAGTTGAATAGATAGACGAACCAATACCCGCTTAAAGTCACTTAACCTATGTTAAGTGACTAAGACACCAAAAGAGCCCCATTTCCCACCCTATTTCCGTCGAGCCAGAGAGAGAAGCAAACAGAAGAAGAAGAAGAAGAAAGGAAGAGAGAAGAAGAGAGAGAGAAGGGAGGAAACCTTAACCGTTTTGGGTGATTCAAAAGCCTAAATCACTTTAAATCTTCCCCTCTTTCATAATCCAAGCTTGGTTCTTAGTGGGGAGTGTTGTGTTGTGAGATTTTTCCTCTCAAAGTTCCGCCCCTTTGTGAGAATTTGGGGTTTTGGGAGCTTCAACCTCCATTGGAGCTTGAGGAGCCATCAATCCTTGGTTGTGTGACCATTGGTGGTAAGATTTTAACCCTTGAACCTTGTTTTCTTGGAAAATTTCATGGTTAGGGTTTAATGAATAGTGTTTTAGGGTTTTTATGAAATGTTGAGTAGATTGGCTATGTTCAAGGAAGAATGAGGCTTAGAGTATGTTGTGAAAAATGCTAGGAATGACATTTAATCGGTAGAAATGAGATTATAGTGTTATTTTAGTATGCTTTGATGTTTTGAGAAATCTAGGCTTGGAACTATGGATTTCCTTGCATTGTTAGCATTGTTTGATTGTATTCCTTGTGTTGATAGGATTGAGGCAAGAGGACCAAGTGGAGTGACCAACCCTTGGGGTTGTGTGCAATTGAGGAAAGCTCAAGAGCAAGGTAAACCTTTGGATCTTGTGGTTGATCCCATTGAGTGTTCCACCATACTCCGTTGAGGAGAAATGGTTTATGAGATGTGATATGTAATTATGATAGTGATTGTATGCTCATGCATTGATTCATGCATTGATACATGTTATGATTGATTGATGATTATTGGTTGATGTTTGATTGTTTAAGAGTAATTGAGGAATGATTATAGAAGTAGCAATAATGAATGAGGTAATGGTTGAGGATTGTGATTGAGGTTATGAGTGATAGTATTATGATGAGGATGATTGGTAGGAACTTCCCTTGGAAACAGCCCTATGTGGATCTCCATGTGGTTAGAGCCTAAGAGGAACAGCCCTATGTGGATCCCTCTTGGAGGTTCCTAGATTGAGGAAAGGACTTCCCTTGGAAACAGCCCTATGTGGATCTCCATGTGGTTAGAGCCTAAGAGGAACAGCCCTATGTGGATCCCTCTTGGAGGTTCCTAGATTGAGGAAAGGACTTCCCTTGGAAACAGCCCTATGTGGATCTCCATGTGGTTAGAGCCTAAGAGGAACAGCCCTATGTGGATCCCTCTTGGAGGTTCCTAGATTGAGGAAAGGACTTCCCTTGGAAACAGCCCTATGTGGATCTCCATGTGGTTAGAGCCTAAGAGGAACAGCCCTATGTGGATCCCTCTTGGAGGTTCCTAGATTGAGGAAAGGACTTCCCTTGGAAACAGCCCTATGTGGATCTCCATGTGGTTAGAGCCTAAGAGGAACAGCCCTATGTGGATCCCTCTTGGAGGTTCCTAGATTGAGGAAAGGACTTCCCTTGGAAACAGCCCTATGTGGATCTCCATGTGGTTAGAGCCTAAGAGGAACAGCCCTATGTGGATCCCTCTTGGAGGTTCCTAGATTGAGGAAAGGACTTCCCTTGGAAACAGCCCTATGTGGATCTCCATGTGGTAAGAGCCTAAGAGAAACAGCCCATAGTGGATCTCTCTTGGAAGTCCATGTGATGCTTGTGGATAAGAATGTGTTAAGCTATTATGATTATGTGTACATCAAAGTGAACCTTAGGGTGGAGTGATCTCCAAGGACCTCTGGTTTACTGTGATATATTCGTATATCTCACCCCGTGTTGTGGGGCATCATTTCAGGTACTGATAGAGGTGAGGTTGATCGAGGCAAGAAGCGTGAGTAGACTGTACCTGATAGCTGGACATGTTGAGTTGCATGCCATTTAGCATTGCTATATGTATATTTTGATGCCACATGATGTATTTTGGAGGACTTAGTGCATGATCATTGTAGTAGTAATGGGTATCTGATACAGGGTTACTTGCTTTGATCATGTTCATGTTGTAGCTAAGTCCTTTGGCATGTATATGAGATTTGTAATTAAGACATGATGTAATATTGTAAGTAATGAAGATATTGGTGTATGATGCTTACTGTAAGTTAAATGCATGAATGTATTTTTATGTATTGGATATGTTGAGCTGGAAAGTCAATTAGGTACCTTGTGCTAAGTTGGGAAACGTTGAGAAAACAAAGGTTATGCTGCCCAATTTCTGTTAAATCAATGATGAGAGGATGAGAGTTAAGCAATGATATAGGGATATCACAAGCTTGTTAAATAGGTTGTAAAATGTGTAGGATTGATTCCCCAAGAAAGATGCATGAAAAATATGAGTATAGGAAATTGCCCAGAAGAGGGGGCTTAAGCCTGCAAATGGAGGCTTAAGCCTGCTCAGGGGGCTTAAGCGCCCATGAGGGGGCTTAAGCGCCCTGATGCACCTGTGAAGACCAAAAGCTTTCTGTCGCATGGGGCTTTAGCGCCCAAAATGGGGGCTTAAGCGCCCAGGTAGCGCGCTTAAGCGCCCTGGAGCGAGCTTAAGCGCCCTTGGTGGCTAAAAATTGTTAATTCCCTCTGTCTGTGGGCGCTTAAGCGCCCTGGAGCGAGCTTAAGCGCCCTGCCCGCGTAGTTTTTCAGCATACACCTGAGTTAGTAAAATTGTCATAACTTGAGCTACAGAGCTCCAAATGAGGAGCGGTTTGAAACCACGCGTAGCTAACGAAGAAATCTACAATATAGTAGAAGTTGGGAAATAAATAAGAATTAAATTAATGTTTTAAAAATGGAATAAGAACATGATGTTAAGCTTGGTTTATCTGATTCCGCAAAGTAATATGGTTATGATCACGCAATTGGGCATTATAAATTCGGCATGTTTTAAAATGAAAAATTTAACCGGATTTTAATTGAACCCATGTGATTGTAACTGCGCTTAATATCATAATGCGATGTTAACAAACCGGTTCTAGAACGGGGTGTTACAGTAACTCTATGAATATTATTTTGAGACCTGTTATGTATGGGATAGCATATGTTATGGATGACTGGGTAATGTGGTTTATGTCTGGATTATAATAAACTGCCAATCAGGTTGAAATTATCATAGTGAGAATTATCCCCAGTGGTCCAAAATACAGATGAAATGTTGTCTGTTTTATTTTGGCCATGAAAGTTAAAAAGTTTGCAATACATAAGGAAAAAGAGAAAATTTATTCAGTTAGCTTCCGCATTAATTAAGTTGAGTATGTTGTGCTTCCTATCATATGAATTTTAATTAACCGGCTGCAGACGAGGCGTTACAAGAAAGGAATTGATTGTTTCTCTACACTTAAAAAAGTCTTAACAAAAGTATTACGTAACAAAATCCATAAGTCTACCTCCAAATGTTTTAATAATATAAAATTTTCCTATTCTCACTATATTTTGATTTAACATTTAACTTCTTCATGGCTGTAACTCATTTAGCAATACAGACTAGGAAGGTGAAGACAAAATTTGTATTCAATTCTCACCAAAGATATTTTTGAGGCGAGACGAGCAGTTTTAACTGAATTCGAATTTAATCTTATAGTCGGCTGAAAAAAATTATTTGTGGACATAAAAAAGCTGATGCATCTTAAAAAGATAATTAAGATTGATGTATAAAAATAAAATTTTAATTCCTTCTAGAAGTACTTCGAAGTACCTTGTTTTTTGCATAGTTCTACGTACTTCAAACCAATGTTATTAGAATCGGATCGGTCATTGATCTGGTCGAGGTACCAGATCACTGGGTCAATGGTTCAACCGGTGGGTCACTGCTTGAACCGCATGAACCAGATATATATATATATATAAATTTATATTTTATACTTAATTATATAATAAATATATTAAATGATGTCATCTACACAATAACTTGATGTGGTTTAGTGGTATTTGCTATGTTCTTTATCCTTGATGCAAGCGGTTCGAGGCTCTCCTCACTCCAAGGAGAGAAACTCTTTACGCCGCCTTATTAGTTGAATATTAAATTTATTACGTCGTATGCTATGTACTGTTTGGAGATACAAAAATTTGATTAGTTATGTATATGCTTTTCATCCCTTCAAAATTTTCCTTCTATGTTAGCTGAATATATATGAATACTGAGTACTTCAAACCTGTCGAAATGTTAACAACGGCAACCTTTGATCCCCACAAACAATGAGAGAATAGCACACAGAGCGAAGAAGAAATATTGTATTAGTAGAAAGTCATTATCATGTGTAACGATATGAAATTTCCTATAATTGATCAATAGGACGCGTATATATGGTTTTTTTCTCTTGTCTTCTTTCTAGGTATAATAGAGACTTGCAGATTAGCATATGCCAAAATTCTTCCTACTTAAGAAACAAAATCCTTAATTACTTGTTTAAATTTTTTTAAATATATAAATTTTTCATAGTTCTTCTCACTCTATTTTGATTGAATCTTTATGTGGAATCCACCAAGGAGAAGAGAGAGAAAGAATGTCGGTTCCACCCACTTTTTCATCTCATACAACATGAGAAACTATATCTCATTATGGATCAAAGGAAACAGAATGGTGTGAATGGTATGTATTGGTCAAGCTTTAAGGTGTGCACCCTTCTCTTTATATCACTATAAATAGAGTATGTTACCTCTGTCATCTTCACATCTGCTTTCGAATAGCATCCAGCAAGTTTGATTATAATGGCACAAGGATCACCATCTTCTCCTTTTACCTACACATTCACTTATGATGTCTTTCTTAATTTTCGTGGTGAAGATACACGCACTGGTTTTACTGGCAATCTTTATAGTGCTTTGAGTCAAAGAGGAGTCTTAACCTTCATAGATGATGATGGTCTCAAAAAAGGGGAAGAGATTACACCTTCTCTACTCCATGCAATACAAAAGTCCAGGATGGCTATAGTTATTTTCTCTAAAAACTATGCATCCTCAACGTTTTGTTTGAAAGAACTTGTCCAGATCCTTGAGTGTTATACAAAACAAAACATGTCGATTTTGCCAGTTTTCTATGATGTAGACCCATCTGAAGTTCGACATCAAACGGGAAGTTATGGAGAAGCTTTCGCAAAGCATGAACAGGGAAGATTCAAGGATGACAAAGAGAAGTTGCAAAAATGGAGGTTGGCTTTGAGTCAAGCAGCTGGATTGTCCGGTTGGCATTTCAAACATGGGTAACACACCTCTCCTGGTCGCTTCCTATATAGTGTATTGTTTCATGCATGGTTGATTTTTTCTTTTTACGTATAAAGTATTGATAAAATACACAACACTAGGGGTTTGCAAAAGAACTTAGTTGTATTGTAAACACTACACTGCATTTAAAAGAACTGATTTTTCCTAACCATTCATGAACTCATTTCCTAAACTGAACTTGTTTTATAAAAAGGAGTTTTTTTCAGTTCAGTTTGACAAAAAGAATCTAATCAAACTTGAACTGTGCACACCCTATACAACACTAATCATTGACCAAAGTAATTTTTTGTACGTGACAATATTTAGCTTTACTTGTAAGGAAGAAACTTTACCATGATTTTGATGCATTTAATTTCATATTTAAGAATGACGGGGGAGAATATGAGCATGTGTTCATTAAAAATATCATAGAAAAGGTCTCCCTCAAGCTCAATCGACCTCTCTTACATATTGCTAATTATCCTGTTGGATTGAAAGCTCGGATACAACATGTATGGTCGCTTATAGGCACTGAATTTAATAATAAAGTCACCATGATTGGGATTCATGGGATTGGTGGAATAGGAAAATCAATTATTGCGCGTGATATTTATAATTCAGTAGCACATCAATTTGAAGGTTCGTGTTTTCTTGCCAATGTTAGAGAAAAGTCAAATAGGCATGGCCTGGAGCAGATCCAACAGATCTTACTTTCTGAAGTAATTGGGGAGAGAAATATCAATTGGGGAGATGTGAATCAAGGAATTCCAATATTGAAAGAAAGGCTTCATAGGGAAAAAGTCCTACTTATTCTTGATGATGTTGACAAAAAGGAACAATTACAGGCAGTTGCTGGAGGACTTGATTGGTTTGGTTCTGGCAGCATTATCGTCATAACAACAAGGGATAAGCATTTATTAGAATTTCATGGAATTAAAAAACTATATGAGGTTAATGAATTCAATGATACTGAAGCTCTTGAATTATTTAGGTGGAATGCTTTGCAAAGTAAAGAACTTGATGCAAGTTACATGGAAATCATAAAGCGTGCAATATATTATGCCAATGGCCTTCCATTAGCTTTGGAAACAATAGGTTCAAACTTGTTTGGTAAAAAATTAGATGAATGGAAATCTGCACTTGAAGCCTATGAAAGAATTCCAAATAGAGATATTCAGGAAATTCTTAAAGTTAGCTACAATGGCTTGGAGGAGAATGAGAAGGAAATTTTTCTTGACATGGCTTGCTTCTTCAGAGGATGCACTGTGCGATATGTTACAAACATGCTACATGCTCGTGGTTTTCACCCAAAATATGGTATTGAGGTGCTGCAAAAAAAATCTCTCATTAAGTTTATGAGATCGATTGATGATGATGAGATTGTGACAATGCACGACTTGATTCAATATATATGGGAAAAGAAATAGTTAGACAGCAATCAACTTGGCCCGAAAAACGCAAAAGGTTGTGGTTTTATGAGGATGTTATTTTTGTTTTGGAGAAAAACAAGGTATGTAGGAGTCCTCTATAACAGCCCACATCAGCAAGGCAAGAAATAACAAGTCAAGAGTACAAGAAAGTCATGGATTGTGAAATTTCAATTTGATAGTGTAATGGTGTGTTTATGGGAGATTATGGTCATAGAGTATGAATGTAAGTTTGGATGTGTTGGAAATTTGAAAATAGTTTGAAAACACTATATATGATTTTCAGCCAACCTATGATTTTGGGGGTTTATTATGTTGAAATTGTATAAAAGGTATGCTAGGCTTATTATACGTTGTGGTATTGAATTGGTTAAAACCATGATAATTTGACAAAAATTGAAACAAACTCCCCTTGGTTGCCTAGGTACACCTTCGGCTATGTGCAAGGAAAAAGACTTGGGATTGTGTAAATTTCATTAGTTACTTTGAAGGACAAGGAAGATATAAACCTAAGGATTTAAAGGTAAGAATTCCCTTGACACTTGTTGGAAAATCCCTTGGTATGCCTATTGCATGCTCTTGGCGTTTTTGTAGGGAAAAATTGTATTTTTGTTGATTGAATGAGACTTTGGCATTACCTTGGTGTCTTGTGATTTATATATATGTGTGTGTGAATGGACCTCATATATGAAAGTGAGCTTAATGATCATAACTATGAATATGATAATAATGTATAACGCTAGGAGTTAAATGCTATGTGAATTGAGGATCCCATGAATTATTGATCAGGGAATGCCAAAGAAAATGCTAAATGCCTAAAGGTTAAGCTGTGGGATTAATATTTGATAAGAGTGCAATGACTCTAATTGTGAGTACGGTTGGGGAGCTATAAATAGTAAACACTCTTCAATGTAATTATAACATAATAAAGTATGAAATGGACCTTGGCCCTCCTATAGGCATGACACGGTCTTGTGTGGAAAAATGAGACAAGAGATGAGTTTTAATTATTTAACTGCTATAGAAACTAATTGTGGGCTGAGTTAAAGTAGTATAGTTCAACCCTAAGTACATGGGCCATGGGCTTAATGAAGATATAATTGTGGTTTAGGGTCTTTTGAACTATAAGTTTGATAAGTGGACTTAATTAAGTGATTTGAATAACCTATGGGGTGTTTGAAGAGTTTGAACCCTAAATGTACCTTTATGGTCACTAGTTGGACAATTGCTTGTGAATCAAGTAAATGAAGTCCATAACTAATGACAGGGGGCTAATGAGAGCCCTAGGTCATTTTGAAATTTTGTAAGTTTTAAGGTGTGTCCTTGCACATTGTCTAAGCTAATAGTTTAAGTAATGATGAATTGAGGTGTGAAAGGCAAATGGTGCCTAGGCCTATGGTTTAGGCCATATATAGGCCTTTGTGGGCTTAGAGACTTTGTTAATTATCAAATGGTAACTAGGATACACCCTTGGGTCACTCCTAGTGTAGGTATGTAAGTTAAACCATGTGGTTGCTTGTTCCACAAGTAATCATCTAGTTATAGTCCCATATGTTAAGTTTTGAAAGGATTAGTAATGATTTGTTATTGACATGTAATTGGTATATGAATATGTGAAGGAAGATTATGATAAGTATAATATCCCTAACCTAATTAATTAGTAAATTACAAGTAATTAAATAATTAAGCATGTTTTAGTGAGTAAAATTAAGTATAAGGCTTAATGAAATGAATCTGAGTCACTTTGGAGTTAAAAAGTGTACTCAGTGAAAATTAAGGAGTATAAATGGGTACTGGCAAAAGTGCCCAAAATATAAAAATAAAGTTGTAAATATTCCTAGAATAATATTCCAGACTTTTGGGTAAAGTTTGGTAATTAATGGAGTTGAATAGATAGACGAACCAATACCCGCTTAAAGCCACTTAACATAAGTTAAGTGACCAAAGCAACAAAAGAAACCCAATTGTCCCTCCCATTCCCGTCGCCAGAAGAAGAAGAAGGAAGAGAAGAAGAGGGAGGAAAGGAAGAGAGGAAGAGAAACCCTAGGGGGAGCTAATCTCAACCATTTTGAGTGATTCCAAAGCCTAAACCACTCCAAATCTCCTCCTCTTTCATAATCCTTGCTTTGTTTTGAGTGGGGAGCATTGTGGAGAGGGATATTGCTCCTCAAAAATTTGGCCTTTTGGAGAAATTTGGGGTTTTGAGTGCTTCAACCTCCATTGAAGCTTGAGGAGCCATCAATCCTTGGTTGTGTGACCATTGGTGGTAAGATTCTAACCCTTGAACCTCATGATTCCTTGAAATTTGCATGAGTTGGGGTTATGAATAGTGTTTTAGGGTTTTGATGAAATGTTGTTAAAGTAGCTATGTTCTAGGAAGAATGGAGCTTAGTGCATGTTATAAGAAATGCTAGGAATGGCATTTAATCGGTGAAAATGAGCCTAGTTAGTTAAATGACTATACTTGGTATATTGCAAGATTATCATGCTTGTTGAAGAGTTTTCTTGCAATTATGACCAATGGGTTGGCTTGGTTGATTGATGATTGGATCCTTGTGATGTCTAGGATTGAGACATTTGGACCAACCGTGAGTGATCAACCATTGGAGCAAGCTATGGAGCTTGATTAGCTCCATTGGATAGGTGAGTTCATGCTTATGTTTGGTATGAATTGTATAGCTTGGATGATAGCTATGTGATGTTATTGGATGCAATATATGTTAATTGCATTAAACCTTGTGTAGGTTTTGTTTGAGAAGTGGAGTATTTTAATTGATTGACTGTGGAAACTGTTGGTGGTGAACAAAGGTCGACTGAAGCATTGAGGTAAGCCTTCGGACCTTGGGTGTAATTCCCTTGACTGTTCCACCAAGCCCTGAAAGGGTAGAGGTTGTGATTGTGTATATAAATGCAATAAAATAGTGTAATGCTTTGTTATACGTATGTGTATGCATTTGGTGTGGCATAGGATGGTGTTTCCCTATGTTGGTATGTTGCATGACGATGCGTAAATCATACTTGGTAGTTAGCTGGCCAGTAGGACTATTTGCATCTGAGTTTCCTTAGGACAGCTCGAGAGCTCGAGGGATTTCTCCTGGAGATGTATTGCACTTTGCATAGATATGTATTTACTGCATTATTATTGTTATTGCTATTACACTGATATGGAACTGTGGGGTGGAGAGATGCTCCAAGGACCCCTGGTTTACTGGATATATTCGTATATCTCACCCCGTGTTGTGGGGACCCCCTTTCAGGTAAGGATGCTGCAGGAGCCTCTGGTGGCAAGTGGCCATATCTGGATTATGCATGAAATGTGGCATTTCTTTTGAGATTGTACATGTTGTTTTGTAGCTCACATGTATAGGATTGTGATTCATAGACCATTGATAGATGTATGAATTGTATATTGGAATGGACTTAGCCTATGCTCATGCCTTTGGTCATCTCTTTTGTTGATGAGAGCCAAGGGAATGATCATAGTGTTTTGTTAGCTAAGTTCCATGAATTGTAATGAACATGATGTGTAATTGATGAGTACTTTGAGTTTAATATATGTATGTTCATTAAGTATTGGATTGTTGAACTGGAAACTAAATTAGGTACCTAGTGCTAAATTGGGAAATGTTGAGAAAACAAATACATCCTGTCCGTTTGACCAATTTTCATACCCAATGTGATGGAATTGGACTTTGATGTCTCTAGGGAAGTGGTAGACATTCCTCTTAGCTTTCCATAGAGACCAAAATGGTGTAATTTGAGTGAGTATAGCTCAAATTATGAGTGGAAAACCATAGGTAGGCTAAATGACCTTGTTTTGGGTCACCCAGCCCTGTGGATGGCGCCTGGGGCGCCAAATTCACGCTTGGGGCGCCAAATTACGAGATCAGACAGTAGCATCCATGCTTGGGGCGCCAGATTCACGCTTGGGGCGCCAACTTTCTGTTTTCCCACGCTCTGAGCGTGGATCTCACGCTGCGGGCGCGGGGGTTCTGGAGGTTTCGCACCCTTTTCTTAAAAAGTGCATAACTTTGGCTACGGTGCTCCGATTTGAGCGCGGTTTGAACCCACGCGTAGCTAATGAAAAATACTATAACATAGTAGAAGATGGGAATCATAAAAGGAGTTTAGAATTAATTTGATAAGTAAAGTGATGAAGACATTTCACGACGTATTGTCAAGTATAATGGGAATATAATCTTAAGTTTTGTCCCACTATTCCGCGAAGTATATATAGTTATGATCACGCACTTGGTTATTTGAATCCGGCTTGTATAAAGAGGAAAAATTTATCCGGTTTTCTAATTGAACCAATGTGATTGTAACTGCGCTTAATGCCGTTCGCAATGATAACAACCCGGTTCTAGAACGGGGTGTTACAATAAGGTGAAATGACATTAAACCAATTGGTATGTCATATATGTAAAGTAAAGGAATCATACAAGTTTGAATATCTTGAAATTATACTGACGATTGATCTATTAAATAAATATTTGACATTGATTCCTCTTCTAGGTCTATATCTAGAGACTCTGTGATTGTGGATCAAACATTGGAAGGGAAGTTTTAGCTTTCTTTCTAAACAAGTAAACACTGGCAAAGCTTCTATAAGGTAAGCTCTATGTTTTAGGAGTTTATTTCTACTTGTGTGCTCCACCATGGTTAGTGGACTATGGTTGGATTATATGATTGTATTTGATGCTTTGTATAGATGCATTCATATAGAGCTATTTGATAATATGATATGTTCTGCTATTTGATAATGTGATCTGTTTTGCTATTTGATAATATGATATGTTTTGTTCTGATGTGATTTCTGTAATGATCTTTGGCCATTGATTCTATGTGCACTGATGTCTGCTTGGGGTCCTCCCTTGGGACACTGTGTATACCTATGATATGTGTTTGGTTCCGCTCGGGGTCCTCCCTTGGGAACACGTGCACTGATGTCTGCTCGGGGTCCTCCCTTGGGACTGACTGTGTATACCTCTGATATGTGTTTGGTTCCGCTCGGAGTCCTCCCTTGGAAACACGTGCGCTGAGTTCCACTTGGGGTCCTCCCTTGGGAATGACTCGTACATCTCTGATAAGATATGTGTATATGCTTTGTTCAGTTATGATATTTATTTATATGATGCTTTGTATACTTTGTATCTGACTTTCATGCAGGAGTGGGCCCAGGGTATGGAGCATTCTCTATAAACCTGGAGCTTATTGAGATTTGTTATCTCACCCCGTTTGGGGACATCATTTCAGGTGTACAGATTGCAGGTGAGCCTTCACGGGGCAAGGATATGACCCATGGCCAGAGATGCCATAATGGAGATGTGTATTATGGATGATTCGTCATCACTGTGTAGAGACATGATCTTTGGGTAGCATTATGCTGCCATTATTCTGGAGGACATATATTATTGCTTATTCGTGTTTTATTCAGGTGGGGATCATGATGTCTGATCCATTATACTATATATGTTTTGTACATGTTTTCTGTTTTGATGCATGTACATTTGTATACTCAGGCATGTTATATGATAATGTAGTGTTCAAATATGTGCATCTGTTGAGTCATGTAGGCTGTTAGACTTTGTGGCATGGAGCCAATTATGCATGCGCCCATGGATGGGCATTAGGTCCGTTACGCTGTCCGATTTTAGACTCCGTCTAGATTGATACTGGTTGACACATTCGGATGGCCAAGGGCCATTGCGTATAGTCACAGATGAAAGATGAATGTTTAGAAAAGGAATTATGATGGATAAGAAAGAAAGAATATAATGCTATATATCATGCGAAATGAAATAAGAAAAGAAGAAAAAAAGTTAGCTCATATTTCGTAAGCTAATGCAAGATTATAAGTTAAGTCTTCCGCTGATGCATGTTTTAGTTCCATAAGTATGTTAATTGAACCGGCTCGAGACGGGGATGTTACATCCTCTAACTTCTGTTTTTTTTTCTTTTTTATTAGCATCATTAGTTGAACTGTACTCTATTTTATGATTCTTAACCCTTACAACCCTTTATAATTTGTAAATTGCTCTGAATTCTTATATGAAATTCTTGACATAAATTTAATATGTTGTGGTTAACTTATGCTTTTGGCATGAAAGGAAGATGATGAAATTGAAGCCATGTTGTTGGATATGCCTGAGAATAAAGAAGTTGAATGGAATAAAGAGGTGTTTGGAAAGATGAAAAACCTCAGGATGCTCATAAAAAGGAATGCTCGGTGTTTTATAAGCCCCGAACATCTCCCCAACACTTTGAGAGTGCAGGAATGGTAGGGATATGCTTCAGCTTCTTTACCATCTAATTTTGATTCAAAGAATCTTGTCATACTCAACTTGTCATACAGTTGCTTTCAATGGGACAAACCATTAGAGGCAAGTATTGTAAAATTCCTTTTTTAGGTAAACATGGAACATGGTACATCTAACTCTTGAAAATATTAATTTAGACTTAATTTTGCAGAAATTAAAGGTTTTGAATCAATTGATCTTCATAGGTTGTGAATATATACAACAAATACCTGATGTGTCTGGTTTCCCAAACTTGATGGAATTATGTGTTGATGATTGTAAGAATTTGACTGAGATTCATGGTTCTGTTGGATTTCTTGATAATCTCCAAAGGTTCAGTGCTAAAGGGTGTATCAAACTAAGGGTTGTTCCTCGTGGCATAAAGTTGACATCTCTAGAATACCTTTGTCTTAGGGACTGCATCAGCCTTGTTATCTTTCCAGAAATATTAGGAACAATGGAGAAACTAGAATTCCTTAACTTGGAAGGAACTGCCATAGAAAATCTTCCGTTTTCAATGCAAAATCTGAGAGGTCTTCAAAGCTTAGTGCTGAACAGATGCAAAATGCTTCAAAACAATGCTCTACCCAAAATGGTTCAAATATTTCCGAATTTATTCCCCTTTTTGACAGTATTGAAGTTACAAGAGTCAAATTTGAGAACCCTTCCTGCCTGCATTGAAGAATGTAGATTCTTGGAAAGAATAGACTTGTCTCATTCCATGCATCTCCGAGAAATTAGAGGGCTTCCAACAAGCATAGTTTGTTTTTGGGCAGGTAACTGCAGGTCACTGGAAGCAGCAGATAGTTCAACTTTAAACATGTTGATACAAAGCCGGGTTGGTCTCTTTTTTATTTGTGATTGTATGAGTTATTATTTAACAATTCAACTTTAAACATGATTGTTCAACATTAAACTCACCATTCTTTCCATGATGCTGTTTGACAGGTAATTGGTTCTTATAGATCACAATTCTATATTCTGCCAGGACAAAAGATCCCAGAATGGTTTGACCTATCCAGAAAGGGAAACTCTCTAGGTTTCTGGTTCCGTAAGGAATTCCCATGTATCACTGCGTGTGTTGTTTTAGGAGTTCGGGATAACATGGAATGTCCTTTCACTGTGCACTTTAACTTTTCGGTTAAAACCAATTATATTGAAACACCTATTGCTGTTGGTTTTAAGTTCTTTTTAGACACTGATCATATCTTTATGTTAGATTTAATTGGCTTCCGACAAAAGTTGGGTCATGGAAAACTACTTTCAGAGAATGAGTGGAATTATGGGGAGGTTTTGTATGAGATACCTCATGATTCAGGTTGTTCAGGATCAATCAAATGGACCGGAGTTTATGTGAACCGGGCATTTACTGGGATGGAGGATGTTCGATTCACAAATCCTTATGCTCCCACAAATACATGGGATGCTGGCGTTGAAGTAAGACCAGAACTACACCTAGGAACCAGTTCCACTATGTTGCCAACAACAATTCGATCATCTCTAAGAAATCAAACTGAACTAACTCAAGATGATGATGATGTAGAAATGGAAGCATTTTATGCTTCTCTTGATGCTGAGACCCGTGTTGTTTCTAGTGAAGAGGCGAGGGAAGCTTTGAGAATAGTACAAGACTTCATCTCCAAGGATGCTTCAGTTTTGTTGCATCCTGAACTGTGCAGTGTCATGAAAACCAGTTTAGAGTACCTCTCCAATTTGTCTGCAGACCATGGTATATCAAGAGATATGAGAACACTGATATCAGAAGCTTCAAGGGAGTTCTCTCATTGGAGAAGGGACTACATTGAAGCAAGCATGAAAATTGAGTCCACTGCTTCCGAGCTGCAAAGAGGTGATGAATTAGAAACAAGTCTGGAAGGTAACAAGAAAAAGTTCAGGGAAGTTTTGGCCTTAGAAAATGAGCTGCTTTACAATTTAACCTCCATGGAGGAAAGAAAAAGGGATCTAGAAGAGCAAATCAATGACATTAAAGCTAACATTTCTGCTTCTCAATCAGAAAAGAACATGACCCTTAAGATAAAGAGAGGTATCTTTGAGGAAGGAAAGACACTTAAAACTCAAAGGGATGAGTTGAGGGAAAAAAACACCTCGTTTGGAACACGAGCATGGTTTGGCCAAGGAAATACAAACAAGAGTAAATTTTGAATGGTCAGAACTGAGAGAAAAATTTAAGAGGATTACTGCATAGTGAGATGTATAGTAATTCAAGTAGAATGTTGACTATACACTATAGCACCTAGTCTATTATACACGAATGTAAAATTATTTCCATTTGAAATTGATGTTGCAAATTGTAATAGGTTTCATTTTCAGTATATATTAAGTTACTACAAGGAAAATTCCACAGAAAACTCAAAAAACCAATCTTAGTAGAAGTCACTGTTAGCTATAAATTATGACTATTTTAATGGCTTAGTTTTTATAATATTTGAGTTG